ATATAGGGGCCTTGATGATTAGAAAAGGTTTCGGGGGATAATACAAGTATACTAAGGAACGCCGAGGCCCGAGGAACAGTTTTAGTAGTCTAGGCTTGGCCTTCGTGTAGCGTATGGACAGTGGGCGACAGCCGGTCCACTGCTTCCAGCAAGATTTGCTTGTGCCGCGAGTCGCAGGGACTAGCGAAAAAGCATATAGGATTCAGGGTTTATAAAGTGATTCGACTAATTATTAGTTTACCACTACTAGTAGCCATAGTACGGGGACAAACGGGTTGATCTGGCATGGTGGATCTTGCTGAAAGGCACTACTGCAATCAATGCGTCTATCCCTGCTGCTGCCCAAACCCCAAACTCAAAATCCAACTCAAAACCTTAAAACCCTAAAACCCTAAACCCCAAACTTCTAAACCCTAAAACCCGAAACCCTAAACCCGAACCTCAAAACCTAAGCCAACCAGGGCCGAGCCTCAGAGATTGGAGATCTGTCTGTGTGGCTTGGGTCGTTGAGTCGAAGCTCACTAAGCTGACCTGCACCTGCGGTGCGGTTTTTTTCCCTCTCGCATGGCTGAGGATCTATGCCCACTAGCGAGGTTGTTTAGGGTTTAGGGTTCAGGGTTTAGGGTTTGGGGCTTAGGATTTAGGGCTTATAGGGTTTAGGGTTTAGAGCTTAGGGCTTAGGGTTTAGGGTTTAGGGCTCAGGGTTTAGGGATCTGCAAGATCGAAATGGGATCCAAAAGGGATCTACAAGGGATCTCAATCTGATAAGTAAGGGATCTACGCGGGATCCAAAAGGGATCTACATAAAGGATCGAAAAGAATCTATGAGGGATCTATATGCGTTCCATTGACTAGTGGAGTGTGGGCCTGGTGCAGGGAGATCTCTTCGGCCCCAGCTTCCAGACGCACCTTTTTGGTGGAGACTTCAAGGGGTTTTCTGAACTTTTTGGGGGTGCGGGGTCAGATCTTTTTTCTCGAGTCTCTATGATGCAGGGCATTCTAGGGACGCTATATAGTTTGGTATATGGTCTAAACCCTTTTACAGCAGGCCTCGTACACACCCTAAACCCTAAATTATATGGTGTGTGTGTGTATATATATATACATATATATATATATATATTTCTATATGTGGTATATATGTCTTCCTAGATTCATGGTCTCATCCTTTTCTCGGCTCAGGGCACCAAGGTTCGATGGCTAATTACAGGGTTTTCCCACACGCCCGCAGCGCGAAAGTAGGATTGAGAGTTCAAGGTAGTAGGTAGTATACCCGGTGTAATGAGGGTAGTAAACCCTAAACCCCCGGAAGCCCTTCAAACCCGAAGCCACCGAATCTCCAGAGTGGTACAGGGTCGGCTCTTTTGGTTCTTTTTCGGCCGGGGTGCTGATGCAGCCATGTTCGGAGAAGACGTGTTGCTGGTGAGAAGGCCCGGAAACAGGAAGGGCAATACCAGCAAGTCCTGGACCATTGCTTGGCGCACATGGTCTTGTTCATCCGGTTTACGTTAATGTAAGTGCAAAGCACAAGAGCGTGAGAAGCCAGACGAGAAAACCCTAAGTAAGCCAAGCAGTTTCCCATTTCACAACAAGAATCTAGGTCTGGATGGCCGGCGCTGTGTGCTAGCAGGTCCCACGCACCAGACGCATAAGCCGGATCGAAGGCAAACCTATTCTGGTGGACGTGGGCTCTGGTAGAGCTATCCTAGACCAGGAAGCCTGTTATCTTGAGACTGGGGCTGCCGGCTTAGCTTAGACTGCCCTGTACGAATAAACTCGAGAAATCGCTTCTGGGAAGGGGAAGTTGATAACTCGGCTTTGAAACTGACATCCGCGATGTTGTCCACATGCGGATTTCCCATATGCTTGAAGCCCCAACTCCCATAAACAAAACGCTTCTGAGACAGCTCAGTAGCATGGGGCTGGAAAGGACTGTGCCTGCAGCGATGGAATGCTGGGCCAGCACCTCAACAGCACCGTTCAGGAGACCCTGAACCCTAGAATCCCTAGAAGACCATTGATAAAAAGCCGACAAAAAAAAAGGATCAGAAACCCGTCGACATGCGCTAGAACGCCAAGTTTAGAACCCAAGTATTTACGGCAAGACACAAGGAATCCTGTGCACTTTTCGACGCGAGGCACCAGGCTTCCATCTGCCAAGGCCCCCGAGCTCCGAAAAGCGAACACGGTTGAGGGCTTCGGGTCGTGTAGTGTTTGGGGTTGAGGGGTTTCAGGAAGTTTGCAGAGTGTTAGCTTCAGCCTTTGAATGTCCCTGAACCCTAAACCCTAATTATATACATGGCTTCTCGGGCCTACCCAAAAAGGACGAGCCACGCCCCTGCCATTAGGGTCCGGCGACGTCGTGCTGGCACAGACCGCCGGGGAAGGCAGCTGCGGAGCGACGCTGCAGTGGCTCTCGCCTTGGGCTTTTAAAGTTTACCTAACACCCCTAAAAGTAGGGTTTTATAATTTATATGATGGCGCCTTGGGGTTTCAAGTTTACCTAAAACCCCCTAAAGGTAGGTAAAATAAGGGAAGAGAAAGCCCCATTAAAGGGGAAGTATTCTACACACATGTTGGGGTCTAGGTAGGCTTTAAGGTTTGAGGCGCTCGAGTCGCAGGCGCTCTGTCTGAACAGAAAGGACGAAGCCCCAAACTCAGAGCCGGTGCAGTGCAGCGCAAAGGGTCGGCTCGACAAAAGGTGTCGATGTTTGGACACTAGGAATTAGAGTTTAGGGCTTCTTTCCCTCCCACATTAGGTTTAGGGTTTAGGGTTTACCCCCTACAGGCCTTCCGCCGACTGGTTGGGCAGCATGGGGGCGGCATGGATATGGCGGTCCAGGAACCAGTCCTGAAGCGCCATCAAGCGAGGTCATGGTCTTCAGCCGCGGGGGTTACTCCATGGTTTCAGCTGCGATGGCACTGTCGACTTCATGAGAGCCAGCTGCTGCCGGTGTTGCTGCCCTTGTTGACCGTGATGCTTGTCAGGTTGACATTCTTCTTTTGCTGCTGCTGCTGTTGTTGTTGTGGTGGTGGTGACGGAGGTGGCGGTTGGTCGCATAGGTGCGTTTTGCAGCGACTGCTGGCCGAAGCTGTCCCTTCTTCCATAGGGCAGCTTCGCCCCTCTCCCTCCCTTTCTCTCCCTCTCTCCATCTGTCTCGCTCGCTCACTGCAAGAACTAGCAGACACAAGGGTACAAGACAGTGCTGGCATCTGCCGCAGGCACCTCCGAGCCGTACGTCGTGAAGAGCTCTTCCCCCATCTGCTGCAGATGGGAATGGCTGTCGGCTCCAGTTTCCGGGTTAGGATTTCGAAACTCAGAGTCGATTCAAAGATAGCCCGCAAAAAACATCAAAGGAAGCGAGCTGGATTTCTGAAGCCACAGACCCGGAACCAGAGACCCTGGTCTCGCGCAGCTCATCAGTGAAATGCATGCAGCTCCTAACCTCAGCCTCTAATCCAGGCAACATCCGAGTCCTTTTTGAACCCGGACTCTGCCGATCAGCTGGGACGCGGCACCACATGATTTCACGCACGCCTGCCTCAAACAAAAGATACAGTCATCCCTTCAAGTCTAACCTAAAACCTGAAACCATACACCCCCAAAGCCCTCGAAGATGGATCCGAAAGCCTAAACTCCGCCCACCAGACCCGGTGCTGCCTGCACAGCGCGGTCCGTCACGATCCGAATCATCGATCCGTTCACTCGCGACATGCGGACGTTGACCCGATGAGCCTGGTGATCTCGGGGCGGAGTCCTTGGGGCTTTGCTCTATAAGGTCCATTTCGAGTGCTAATGTATGCATACAACCACAGATACACTTAAATTGTGCATAGGAGCAAGCAAGGGAATGGTGATCCTCCAAAGGGAGAAGATGAAGACAAAAGGAAAACATGTTGACTCACAACTGACTCATGCGTCGTTGACAACTTTCCTCTGCACCCCTGCTTTTGCAGCTCTCAGCCCTCAAAAACTGCAGACAACTGGGTTACAGCACAGGGGTTGGTGCATGTGCGATGACTCAGCGATACAGGCTGCAATCGTGATATCCGGGTTGTCAGCAGCCACAACTAGGCAGTGCTACCGGCATGTATTCAGTGTTTTGCGAAAGTGCGCCCGGTCCTTTCCGAATCTAATTACAGAACGAGGTTGGGTCATCAGGGGCCTACATGATTGCATCCCCGAAAAATCGAGCTTCCTGGTTCATCTTGCCCGGCCTCTGCATGATTGAAGATGGAGGCGGTCCTGGGCGCATGTTAAGGAACTGTAGTTAAGTTATCCCTGTGCATGGGAAAAGCATGCTATCAACGGCATATCCTTTTTTGTGGTGTGTGAAAATGCTCCTGAACCTTTGTCCACCCCCGAAAGATGCTTAGCAAACTTTTCGACCCCTTGGAAACCCCTGGAAAATTCCGCTAAGGCTTTGCGAAGAGGCCAACAGCCTTTACTGGACTGGAATTTTTACAAAGTTTGGCAGAAAACAAGAACCTTAGAAAGACTCTAAACAAGAACCCAAGGTCCCCAGAAGCAGCGACGCGATCGCGTCATCCTCACCCAGCTGGAAAGCCTCAGCTCAGTTCCGACCATCTTCGAGGATGGGCTCTCGGCATCATATTGGCATAGTCATAGTGTGGAATCGTATGGTACACTGTACTATGCAACGTAGCAGGTAATGGCAAAGTCTAGTGCGGCTGTAAGAGGGGTTGCGGCAGAGGGCTTTGGCGTTTAGGTTTTCAGGGCTTTGGGTTGAAGGTCTTTCCGGATATTCGGTTCTGGGTTGAAGTTCATGGCCACCCGGAACCATTGACGAAGAGGAATGTCTGAGGGAGTTGGCTTTCGATGATTTTGAGCGTTCTAAGCTTTGAAGTCTTTGGTCCAATTATTTTGGGTTTTTAGGGCCTAGGGCTAAAAACTTGCGAGCAAGGTGCGTAGTTCCAGGCCTGCGTGGCCTCGAGGCTCTTTCGAGGCACTCGGACTTCGCGCGAGTATGCAAGCCTCAGAAGAACTTTCATCATCTTCATCCACTTCGTCTTCACAAAACCACTATCCCAATTCCCGACCCGAGATACTAACAGCACAAAGTATGGCTTCCACTTCGACGGTAGCGACAACGATCGCAAACCCAGATCCGACTCACGTCCCGACATGCCCCCTGACAGTTAAGAGATTCACAAGTTGTCCGGCTTTACTGCTCCCTTCGAAGAGTCCGGTAGTTCTTCGCTGCCGCAGACAGACGAGTAAGTGTACCGTCCTTGGAACTCTACTTTAGGAACGGCGGCCCCAAACACCCTCAACAAGCCATCTTTGACAATTCCTTCTGAAATCCGGGAACCCTACACAGATTGTTCACGAGCATTGTGAAAACGGAAGTAACAAACACAAACTGCAAACGGCCAGGTGGCAGTTCACCCTTGGAAAAGTTCCTCCCAGCGAAAATACCCGAGCCGGCCTTCAGTTCAGGGAGCTTTGTCTCTTGGAGGAGGAGAGGGGTTTGTTGAAGCTCACGCTTTGATGCGCGGATCAAGCCCACGCCGGGGCGAAGGTGCTACGGTTGATGATATAAATCCTGCATTACACATAATGAAGAATATCCCATAATTCCCATAGTTTAGGGTCCTTAAGGTAATGCAGGATTTCAATCGTCAACAGTAGGGAACGGCCAGCTCGGACAACGAGGGGGTGTCGGCGCTGACACTCGGACAATCCAGGTTTAGGGTTTAGGGGTTGAGGGTTTGAGATCGGTGCCCTCATAATTTAGAAAAGGGAAGATTGCATGTACTATAAGCAGGAACCCGAAGCAATGGTTTTGGTAATTAATTATACCCAAGCCCCGACATTCGGTTTTGAGGTTTCTGGCTCGGGTGTCAGGCTTGCGAGGAACAGTATGATTCAAACAATAAGTACGAGCAAGTCGCTTAGGCTTCTCTATTTCAGTGTTCAGGCTTGCGGCTTCAGGGTCTGAAGGTTTACTTATTAACCATCCGGTCTGCTGGGGATCCTGCTTCTCTGGATTCTGGCTTTATGGCGTCACTGGGTCGGTTGAGTGAAACAAGGAGGACCGGCAGGCGCAAACAACACCCGAATGCGGCCACCAACCTTCTTTACAGTTTTGGGGCTTTTTGGTCTGCTCGGTTTTCGCAGTTTCGCCTCCCCCAATCGCTCAAAGCAGACACGGATTTGCAGTCCAAGAGTTTCTGCCTTCTGTTTGTTTTGGGGTTGGGGTTTCGAGTAGAGGCACGGTGGGGGCGTGTGACTTTGCTTCAGATCGTGTGTCGGGTGGGGATCCGGATCTTTGCATTTCGGGTTTTGGGTCTTCGGGGCTCAGTGTGCGAAGAAAGCGTCCGGAGCTTGGGCAGGGCTCAGTGTGCTGGATGTGGAGGTCTGCAAGGTATGGACTGATGGATATTGGTACTTGGGGTTAGCTTAATCTTGCAGACGTCTTCGAAGAAACAAAGCGCATCGGCCATCCCTGAAAATCGTTCTCACATAGTGCGCGGCCCGAGGATTATGCAAATGCAAAGCCCGTGCTTTGGCCAGCCCAGGGCCCTCATCCGCATTCAGCAGCCTGAATGTTCTGAATACTCGCTAACACTGTTCGTGAGGGCTCCTCGTTACCTATTCTGCCGTAGTATACCCCAAACCCTACTCTAACTATGAAGACCCCTAGAGCCCTCATAGTAGCCAATACAGTATTTAGAACCCGCAGAGGAACCCTTTGAAGCAGCCCTAGTCTAGTTCTTAAGGCCCCAAATGACATGACACCAAGGCCCCCAACAAAAAGCACAGAACCTTATTACAGGAACCCTATTCTAGTCCTTATAAGGCCGGGTGATACGGTTGATGCTATAAATCCTGCATTACCCATAATCAGGAATATACCATCATTCCCATAGTTTAGGATCCTTAACGTCCTTAAGGTCATGCAGGATTTATATCATCAACAGTATTACAAGTGCCCTTGCAGCCCAGATTCGCCGGAAAGCGTTGAGCTGGCGAGCAGCAGTGGGCAATCCTCGCCGGCAGCAGACCCTGCGCAGCAGGAGGGTTTAGGGTTCGCACTAAGGGTTGGAGGGTTTTGAGGGTTTAGTGGTTGGGGGTTTCAAAGGTTGATTAGTTGAGGGTTTAGGTTTATAGGATTTCGACTCTCGCTCTCGGACTGGCCAGGCGAGGTTCATAGTGCGTGGTCGGTTGAAGTGAAACCTCTGATGCTCGTTGAAACGAGGCCGATATCAAGAGTAGAATAGAGACGATAACGCCTGCATAAGTAAACAGAGTCTCTCTCCTCAAGAACTTGTATCCCGTGGAACCCTTGAGTTTAAAGTGCGGGACTTAGGGTAGCTGAGGGTTTCCGACAAACCGCTTCTCTCATCTCCGGTTGAGATAAGTTGACGATACGGGTCCATCGCCAAACTCGCGTGCGCATGTCCTGTCAGTTTGAACTGATGAATGAGCCAACCTCTGAAGCCAACATTGAACCTGATGGCTCCAGTCATCTGCTATCTCATGCGAGATCTCATCAGCCAAAGTCCGTGTGCCAAGCTCAAGGAGCTGTAGCGGCCAGTCCATCCCCAAGGATCCTTATTATTGCTACTCTTGTACGATATACCAAAAAAATGCCGCGATATACCTAAACGCTAGTCCAAAAATAAGGCCCCTGATCAAAATCAAAAAGCCTCGCGAAACGATTATGATGGAAACCGTCTCGGAACCCTGTAGAGGGAATAAACTCTATTCTAATCAAGGCCTCCGCATTATTGCCTGATGAAGCGCACCCTGCCCTTTCCCGGCCTAGGATACGGAGCCCGGCAAGCAGCGACCAGAATCGCGCCAGATGCGGCCCCATGAGGTCACCGGTGAAAGGTTGAGGGTGTGGGGTTTCGGGTTTTGGTTAGGGTTCTTTCTGGTGGCTGCTGAACTTCTGTACACACACACACACATATATATATATGTATATATATACATACATACATACATACATACATACATACATACATATGTATATATATATATACACACATACATTCGAGCTGAAGGAGGTAGTACCTCCATTGGGGCAGTCTCCAGAGGCTGGACGAGGTGAAGTTTGAGGCCGCCATGCTTTTGATAACCTTAGTCTAGACACTTCAAGCCATGGCAGCTGCTCGACTTCAAGACGTCTCATCTTCTCACCCCACAACGGATGCTGAACCGAAAGCCCGTAACCCCTTTAGCAGTCCTAGTCGGTCGGTGCTTGGTTTCTTGACACTCAGACTCGGACGATGCGTGCGAGGCTTCGAGCACTGATTAAGATGAAAAGCCTAAGCTTGCTACGCTTGCACAGCATGACAAGACTGACATACTTGTGCTTGGCGCGTAGGTAGGCGTATAATATACATGTTCGACCGGCATCCATGCCTATACGCATCTGCTTAACTATATAGGCTACTATGGCACTGTTGGGGTCGCTAGGGTACTCTATACATGTATAGCTGTATAGCGCATAAACCCGTTCTATTCATCTGCTTCGTTTCAAGTCTCCAGCTTCGCTGATTTAGCTTTGTTTCGTGTGCATGGTCGAGCCGCGGCCGTGTAACTAAGCGAAAGTTGGCGCCACAGCAATGTGAATGAGGGAGTCGAAGCGAAAGAAACATTTGTTCGTCGTCGTGGTGGTCGTTCATTGCTCCTTGCCCTTGGCACCACTAGTACAGCCAGTAGGCATCGGCAGCTCATAGTCGAGAACACAAGTGCAAAGTGCTACGCCCCAACGCACAAGCGTCTCTTTATCGATGTCTCCAGCTCAATGGGCCACATGGGACCCGACGCTGACCAATATAGACGGCCCTGATCCACACCTGCGATGGACAGGAGATGCTGTTCGCGGTTACGAAGCAAGACATGTTTGGCTTCTGGGCACTGAAGGTAGAGGGGCTTGGGATCAAGAGTAATCAGTTGCACACTGCACTATGCGTGGACTACGCACACGAGCGCCTGCCTCATCTCTTTCCATGCCGCCTTACCCTTTGCGTTTCATGGCGCTTTCACGTTGCTCTACCATTTCTCTGTGGCCTTCGCGTTGGCATCACCTTTCGCCTTCCCTTGCCCTGTCGATCGGTCTTTCGCTTGACCTTGACCCTGCCATTTCACACTTCCTATGTCGCTTGCCGCCGCTTGCCCTTTCCTTTCACACTCCCTTTCGCTTGACCTTTCGACTACCCTTGGGCTTTGCCTTTCCCTGCCGCTTTCCCTTGCGCTTCCTCTTTGCCGCCTCCCTCGTGCATTCCTCTCTCCCTCTGTCTTTGTTCTAAGCCTTGGGCTCGGAACCAGCATTCACCTGCACCATGCCGATCCCTGAGAGCTCTACCCTCTTGAGTGTGCTTGATGCCTAGAGCTGAGAAAGTTCGCAACACGTGGGGTCTCAGCGAGATTGAAGTTGACGGTCATGTTCCCACTGAAGCTCTGACTCATTGTCGGCACCTCAAGCAGGCAGAACAGGCCAGAAGTCTCGGGCGAAATGACATGAATTTCAGGACGGCTAATTGCGAAGGCCTCAACATGCCCGCCTGGTCATGCATTTTCTGCGAGTGCCATTGAAATGTGCATGGTTTAGTGGCCACTGCCAAATCGCTCACGGACTGGACGAACTACTGTACATACTGTGCTTCCTGGAAAATCTGGATCATGCAGGCCGTCCGGTGGAAGAGGTGTGCCGTGAGTGCAGTCTGGCAGCGCCCTAGGCGCAAACGATAGGCAAGATACTGTTGCCGCCTAGTTTGGCAAACTACCTTCGTACCTTTTTGGGGGATCCGTCACAGAAGACGCTACTCTTCCGGACGTCGGGTCCCGACGGGTGTGCTCGTGGAAAATGCTATGGATCCACCTGCTTCTAGGTGTCAAGTTGCCGTTTTGGTGAAACTTCAGGTCGTTCCCTCTCCCAATGGATTGATTCGTTGGGCCGTGTCCGGGACGAAGATTGCCCACATAACCTGGAGCATAGCTCAAAGAACAAGCAACACATCAAAGAAGGCTGCCTTTTGCGAAGGGTTGAAGGAGCGGTTGGATGAAAGGGCATGCGCTTAGTACTTCTCCGGTGCACTGTCGAAACTTCCGGGGGTTCATGGGTTTTATCCCTCCCCGAATTCACGTAAAATCACTCTATGGTGAACTCCTCCAAACTCTCCACTCTGAAACCCTGAGGAGGCCCTGAGCCCTACACTCTCAAACCCCGTACCCAACCATGCAGCCCTAAGTACCAAAGCCCAATGGCTTATCACATCAAAGAAGCTGTTCATGTGCTCCAGCAGCTCTTCGACCTCACGATGCAACTCTTCGTCGCTCAGCGTAGAGCGCATAGCGTCACGAACTGACTCGAGCTTATAATAAATGTCCTCTTTCTGTTCCTGCAGGACCACTTTCATCTCTTGATAAACCTCTGGGTCGTCGTTGATCTCCTCCAAGAGGGTGTTGTTATTTTCGGCGAACTCATCCACAAAACGCTCCAGACCTTCGACATCGTCATTTCGAACGAGCTCCACGACCTTTTCCATCATTACATCGAAAGAAAGTTGATGCGCTAAGTGTACGTTTTTGCTGTCACAGCCAAGCTTTTTCATTTTCTTCACCTTGTCCATGACTCTTTGGGCTCTCTTTTCCCAACTGGTGGGTCTCTCCACCTCCTCAAACTCAGGGTGGCGAGTCGTACCAAAATCTTGGAGGCGAGCATGAATGAGTTCTTCGGCACCTGCGCCTTCTGCCATTCGCCTTGCCTGCTCATCACCATGGCTCTGCTTTGCCTGGAGATACGCAGTGGTGAACAGCACTGACTCCTGAGGGCCTTTCCTCTCCATGCCTCTTTCAAGACCTTTCGGCTTAACTTTGCCGTCATGTATCATGTAGTCCTTCCCCTCTTCGTAACCAAGCTGCTCCATCTGCTTTCGACTCAAAATCGCAGACGGTTTCACTTCTGGCCCCAAAACAGATCCGAACACCTTTGCAGCTGCCTGCTGTGCTTTCTGGCCTCCAGCAGCCGACCCTGCCTCTGGTGGGCTCCTGCCCTTCTCTCGCTCCTGCGATCAGAAAGCGGGGGGGGGGGGGGGAAAGCAAAGTGTGCTCCTGGGCGGATGGCCTCAAAAATCTGCTGTTAGGTAGCTGTCAGCGTTAAGGCTCATGTGGCAAATCCCCGCCTGCAGGTAGAGAACGGTCTGGATGAGGCTGCCCCAGCTTGTTGACCCTGAATTCTGCCGGTCCAC